GGGCGCCCCGGGGGGGGGGGGGGGGGGGGGGGGGGGGGGGGGAGGATCGGGGACTATTCGTCCCGGGCCTCGCGCATCAAGAGGCTCCAAGAGGCTCCTTCAGAGCTGAACAGTCCTTATTCCCTTCATAATGAAAGTAGGTAAAGAACATTTCTATAGATTTAAAGAAGTGCTTTCAATCGAGCGATGCTTTGCATCTTCCATCACTTTATTCTCAATGAATGGAAACGAAAAATCAGTAATATATCACTTGAATAATTGGTGGCAATTTACACTTAAATATATAATAATAAAAAAAACATGTATAACAATCAGCCACATCCCGGCGTAAATGTGTCTCAACGTCGCCAAGTGAATGCATTTAATAATCTGATATGTATAAATTTATATAAATGGTTAACTGTAAAACAATCACCCGCCTTTTTTGCATTTTCATCTCTAATGGCTTTTTCCCGCTTTGTCAATTCTGGGGGTCTTATTTCCGGGTGTTTTTTTTTCCGTTTTTTTGCCTTTTTTCCGAACCCCAGATATACAGGGTGTCCCATAAGTCATTATACCATTTAAATGGTATAATGACTTATGGGACACCCTGTATATCTGGGGTTTTCAAAAAAATGAGTTTTTTTTTCGTATATTCGGCTGGCTGATATGCCAGGACTGTGCTCGGGAGTGGGGTTCACTCCACTAACAGCAGGAACCCTTCTTCATTTTCAATATCCAACGTCTTTTTTAAATAATAATTATTGTTCATAGCAGGTGTTGAGACGAAGGTACTGTTCTTTGTTGCTGACGGTCCTTTTGATCCAGTCCGCGCAGGAGCTTCAGAGCGCACTGGATCGACTCAAAATGCACTGTAGCTGGAATGAATCTGTTTTTCCAAAACCCGGTCATGGCTCTCTCGACAAATCCCTGTGTTGTGCACCCGACGTGTCAAGGGGATCCGCTGGAGAGGTTCAAGTACCTCGGGATCTGATTCTCGAGCGGTGGGCGATACGGAACGAGAACGACCATTCAGAGCTTCATGAATTTCCCAAAAGGTGAAACTCAAGGTGTTTATCTCCCCACCCTCGCCAATAACCACGAACTTTAATGACCGAAATAATCAGATTGCAGACAGATTGCCTCGACGAAGATCTTCATCGGGTGGTCGGTGTCAAGGGATGACGATGTGTGCGAAATCAGGGCCGTAGCCAGGATTTCCTTCAAAGCTGGGGCAACGTACACACGAATTAAAAGAAAGGTTGTTGGCTATCAATGCTTTGCACTAATGTATGGATTAAGTACCCAGAATGCACGAGTATGTAGAAGAGATTATGTTATATAAATACAGTGAAAACTCGTTAACTCGAACTTTTAGGGACCAGGCAAATCGTTTCGAGTTATCCGAAGTTCGAGTTATCAGGAATCCCCCCCCCCCCCCCCCCC